AGAGAGAGAGAGAGAGAGAGAGAGAGAGAGAGATAGAGAGAGATAGAGAGAGAGAGAGAGAGAGAGTTTTAATAGATATATAGAAACATGTTTAATCTTTATAGAAACACAGTTAATTAATCCAATTTATTATAGAAACAAAAATTTATACACGCATAAAATATTAATTGATTATAGAAACACAATTAATTAATATATAGAAACAATTTATAGATGAATCTCCCAAATGTATTATTATATTATTTAATTAGTTGATTAATTGATTAAGCTTAATATTTTTTTAAGCGCATAAAAGGAAAAAAAGAATTCGATATTTTATTTTAAACAACAATTGGAACTCAATAATTCAAGCGTGTATTTATTAATTAATCCAAACGAATGAAAGACGTAATATCACGATAGCAAATATAATAACACTAAAATACATAATTCAACGACATGGAATGACAATAAAACATAATAAAGTAAATAAAACAATAAATATATTAAAAATAATAACCTTCAAGGACATGGAAGAACAATGAAATTAATAATATAAATATATTAGAAATAATTTTGATATTACTAATGAAAATGTTTACCTGTTCATCATGAAACAGTATATGGAATGCGTTCAAGCTCTCCCGTTCGTGATGCGTTTCACTTATTCGGAATGCTTTCAATCGCAAATAAGATTTGTTTGTCCTACTCACGGAATCGAGTGTATTCCAGACCGACGACATTATATTATCGATGTATTCTAAAATTTATCTATATAATTTTTTTTTCTCTAAATGCTGTGAATGAAGTGAAGAAATAATCGTGGTAGTGAATATCCTTTTATACAAATTGTTGTTTAGCACGTTGGTACCGAAAAGAGTGATTGATGAAAATTATTTAAATGGAAAGATATTGTTGAGATTTATCATATAAATGATTTATATGGAGCCTTGAAAGAGGAGATTTATATGAAGAATTAAAAAGAAGAGATTTATTCCATAGTATCTGCAATTAATGCTTGCTGTTTTGTTAATAGAGCCACAAAAAATCGAAAATCTTGGCGTGAAAAAATGATTTATTCTATAAACAATTAATGTTAATCCGAAATAAATAAGAGCAATTTTAGGAAATTATGTGCAATTAATGCTCGTTGTTTTGTTAATGAAACCACAAAATGATTTGTTCCATAAATAAAAATCAGAAATAATGGCGTAAATGATTTATTCCATAAAAAAATTTATTCCATAAAAAATTTAATGTTAATCGGAAATAATTAAGAGCAATTTTAGGAAATTATGTTAATTTACTATTTTTAGACTATAATTAATGAATTTGGCGGGAAATAGTTTCTAAAATTGAATTAAGTTAATCCTTATTATATATTAATAGATTGTGGATGTGTGTGTTAAGCTATGACTTTTTCGGATAACCATTAGAAGCTTCCTTTCTTTCTGTGTAGAATAAATAATAATAACAATAATGGGTGATGCTACGAATACCGTCACGGAACCATCTCGTCGGGATTTGTAATCGTTTTACAAATTCGTAATGGGATCGTAGCATTTTCCAACAATAATATATACTCCCTCTTATTTTTTTTAAATGTCATTCTACCTTTATTAACTATTTGCCAAATAAATGTGGTTTTGGATCTTTTGTACATATTTTTCCATTATTACCCTCGTTTAGCCAATAAATACATTACGTCTTTTTATATTCACTCACTACAAGAAAAACTGTATTTGGCGACGCTTATTAATGACGCTTATTGGCTAATTGTGTTGCTCAATTTGATGTCAGAAAAAAATAAGCGTCAGTAAACAAAAAAATAAGCGTCGCCAAATGCAGTTTTTCTTGTAGTGCTTTTCATTTTTTCTCAAAACATTCATCTCTCTCTTCATTAAATAAGATTATTATTGACAAAAAAATATTATTAATTAGTGTGCAACTTCTCAAAACGACATATATTAAAAATAGGAGGTAGTATATTTTTTTTACTATAATGTCTCGTCATTTCTCAGTTGGGACGGTATCCTTTTTGGGATGATAAATTGAATTTACCAAAAATAGAAGGAATAAAATTTCTTTAAAAGCATAGGATTGAATTTATGTTTTTTTTTTTTTTTTTAAATTTATTTTTACCGTTATTTTTTTGCAGAACGCGTTAGTTCTTTGTTACATGGCTTGCGTGCAATGGGTCGCTTGCTTTCTCGGTAGGTAATCGATTTTCGGTTTGTTCTTATGATGATCTTTCATTTTAGGCAGCAAAATTTTTCCGAAAGCTCCGTATATAAGTTAGTAACATTACTGATTTTTCCAAAAACTTATGTACCTTTATAGAGGGATATTGTTGGACAAGAACAGCCGAAAAACAAGCATCCCGACTAAGATCGAGATACCTAAAAGCCGTTATGAGGCAAGATATCGGCTATTTCGACCTGCACGTGACGAGCACGGCTGAAGTTATCGAGAGTGTATCAAGCGACAGCCTCATAATTCAAGACGCCATTAGCGAAAAGGTTCGACATTTTTTTTCTTCTAATTTTTGTTTCTTGATTACATTCTTAATAATCGAAATTTGCTGTCATCAGGTCCCTGTCTTCATAATGAACCTCTCGACTTTCTTCGGGTCTTACGTGGTGGCATTCATTATGCTGTGGAGGCTAGCGCTAGCCGGGTTCCCTTTTATAATAGTCTTGGTAATCCCGGGTCTCATGTACGGGCGGGCCCTTATGAGCATCGTTCGGAAAATGAAGAACGAATATGGTAAAGCCGGCGTGATAGTTGAGCAAGCGCTTTTTTCCGTGCGTACAGTTTACTCATTCGTGGGTGAAAGCAAAACGATTGCTGCTTATTCGGATGCTCTTCAGGGGACCGTGAAGTTAGGTTCGAGGCAAGGTTTGGCCAAGGGCTTGGCCATCGGAAGTAATGCTGTCGTATTTGCAATTTGGTCCTTTTTGTCGTATTACGGCAGTAGATTGGTTATGTATCACGGGGCTCAAGGAGGCACGGTTTTCGCAGTTGGGGCTGCAATCGCTACCGGTGGATTGTAAGGCGTTTTTTTCCTTTTTCCTGATTTTATAAATCTTACCTAGTCTATATCGATTTTTACTCGATTTTTTCTTTTTCGAAAACGTGCAGAGCGTTGGGTTCGGGTTTATCCAACCTCAAGTACTTCTCGGAAGCAAGTTTAGCTGCCGAGCGTATAAAAGAGGTGATCGAGCGAGTGCCCAGGATCGACTCGGATAGCGTGGAAGGCCAAATACTAGAAAACGTGAAAGGAGAAGTCGAGTTCAAGCATGTTGAGTTCGCCTACCCGTCGAGGCCCGAGAGCGTGATTTTCGAGGATTTTAATTTAAAAGTCCCGGCGGGAAAAACGGTGGCGCTCGTCGGTGGGAGTGGGTCTGGAAAATCGACCGTGATTGCTCTTCTACAGAGATTTTACGACCCGCTCGGAGGAGAGATTTTGTTAGATGGAGTGGCGATCGATAAGTTGCAGGTAAAGTGGCTAAGGTCGCAAATGGGATTGGTTAGTCAAGAACCGGCACTTTTCGCTACCTCGATTAAGGAAAATATACTTTTCGGAAAAGAGGATGGCTCGTTCGAGGAGGTCGTGGAGGCTGCGAAAGCTGCTAATGCTCACAATTTCATCTCTCAGTTGCCTCAAGGTTATGAGACTCAGGTAAAAAAATTATTGTGGCTTTGTGTTTTTATAATTAGTCATTTTCTTTGTCACTTTTGTGGGAAATGCTACGATCCCGTTACGGTACCATCCCGTCGGGTGTTTTAACTGTTGGATCATCTATCTTATCTAACTACACGTGGATCCATCGGTTAAAACACCTGACGAGATGGTACCGTAACGAGACCGTAGCATTTCCACTTTTGTATTTGCAAAAGTACAGAAAATTGGAAATCATGCACAACTGCAAAACAATCATGGCTTTTTTAGCTTTCTTTTCTCATCACTTTTAACTAAAGCATTGCTTTCCTATTTCTCATATAAATGACTGTTTGAAGGAATCTGGTAGGCCTATATTGTCCTTTAGAAGCTGATTCCAAGTGCCTTTAGTCCTTCACTTGGTTTGGTTTTCCATATTTCTTTTAATGTCTCATTACACGCTAGTAAAACGGCTATAGTATTAATCGTGTCGGCACGACGAGTCACTCACGCAGACGAGCGAGTTGACTAGGACAGCAAACTAGTACAGAAATTTTATTTACCTTTAAGTATATTCATCAATCTTTATTCTGTTTTAAGTTATAATCTGTCATGAAAAGACGCCTTAGTTAGAATCCATATTGCACTCAATGTATATTTCTTGCTAAAACATTGCTCAATTTTTATATGCCACTAACTGTCAATGATTTTTTGCTTCAGGTCGGCGAGAGAGGGGTCCAAATGTCCGGAGGCCAGAAGCAGAGGATCGCAATCGCACGAGCCATAATAAAATCCCCGAAAATCCTCCTCCTCGACGAGGCCACGAGCGCGCTGGACTCAGAGTCAGAGCGTGCCGTGCAAGAAGCCCTCGACAAGGCCGCCGTCGGTCGGACCACCATCGTCATAGCCCACCGCCTCTCAACCATCCGGAACGCTGACATCATCACCGTCGTCCGAGATGGCCGGGTTGCCGAAAGCGGGCCCCACGATGAGCTCATCGCCGACAAAAACGGCCTCTACTCGTCCCTCGTCCATCTGTCTGAGAAAACCGACACCTTAGACGAGCAACCGTCTAACGCATTAGACGACGTACGCAACACGAGCAGCCGGAGGCTCTCGGTTTTCAGTCGGTCGAGCTCGGCCAACTCCCGCGGGCTCGTCGAGACGGGCCAGACGATGATAAATGTGGCCCGAGACGAGGTCTTCGGGACCCCCTCGTTTAGGAGGCTGCTTGCCATGAACATGCCCGAGTGGCGGCAAGCTACATTGGGTTGCGTGTCGGCTGTGCTCTTCGGCGCGATTCAGCCGCTGTACGCGTTCGCGATGGGGTCGATGATATCGGTGTATTTCATACATGATCACGAGGAGATCAAAGAGAAGATAAGGATATACGCGTGGTGTTTTCTTGGTTTGGCCGTTTTTTCACTGATGATTAACGTGTGCCAACACTATAGTTTCGCGTCGATGGGGGAGAATCTGACCAGGAGGATAAGGGAGAGGATGTTGTCCAAGATTCTTACGTTCGAGGTTGGGTGGTTCGACCGGGACGAGAATTCCACCGGGGCCATATGCTCGAGGCTCGCGAAAGATGCTAATGTGGTATGATTTTATTTATTTTTTATTTGCTAATCAAACATTCGCTAAAATCATGTATTGGAAAAAAAAAAATTATGAATTCAAAACACAGGTGAGGTCTCTGGTGGGTGACCGGATGGCGCTGCTGATTCAGACATGCTCGGCTGTAATAATTGCATGCACGATGGGCCTTGCCGTCGCGTGGAAGCTCGCGCTTGTAATGATTGCGGTCCAGCCGTTGATTATAATCTGCTATTACTTCAAACGTGTGCTCCTCAAGAACATGTCGAGTAAGGCGATCAAGGCCCAAAACGAGAGCAGCAAGCTCGCGGCTGAGGCCGTGTCGAATCTCCGGACGGTCACAGCCTTCTCCTCACAAGCCCGTATCCTCCGGATGCTCGAGCGGGCCCAAGAAGGGCCCAGGAAGGAAAGCGCTCGCCAGTCGTGGTTCGCGGGTGTCGGGCTCGGGACCTCCCAGAGCCTAATGACGTGCACGTGGGCCCTTGATTTCTGGTACGGCGGGCGGCTCATCGCCGGGGGGTTCATCGGGGCGAAAGCCCTGTTCCAGACGTTCATGATCCTCGTCAGCACGGGTCGGGTCATAGCCGATGCTGGGACCATGACGAACGACTTGGCGAAAGGGGCAGATGCCGTGAGGTCGGTTTTCGCGGTGCTCGACCGTTACTCGTTGATCGAGCCTGAGGACCCGGATGGGCACCGGCCCGAAGAGAAGCTTTTCGGCAACGTGGAGCTCCGAGGGGTCGATTTTGCGTACCCAGCCCGGCCCGGAACAATGATCCTCCGAGGCTTCTCGCTCGAGATTGAGGCGGGTAGGTCGACCGCACTCGTGGGGCCGAGCGGGTCGGGGAAATCGACCATCATAGGCATTATCGAGAGATTCTACGACCCGATAGCTGGGGTCGTGAAAATCGACGGTCGGGATATCCGGACGTACCATTTGAGATCGCTGAGGAAGCACATTGCATTGGTTAGCCAAGAGCCAACGCTATTCGCGGGGACCGTTCGAGAGAACATTGCGTACGGGTCGTCGGAGGAGGAAGTCACGGAGGCCGAGGTGGTGGCGGCGGCTAAGTTGGCAAACGCACACGATTTCATTTCCGGGCTTAAGGATGGGTATGGGACTTGGTGCGGGGACCGGGGAGTACAAATGTCGGGAGGGCAAAAGCAGAGGATCGCGATCGCCCGAGCCATACTTAAAAATCCGAGCATCTTGTTGTTGGACGAAGCCACGAGCGCGCTCGACACAGAGTCTGAGAAGGCCGTGCAAGAGGCGCTCGAGCGGGTGATGGTCGGGCGGACGAGCGTGGTGGTGGCTCACCGGCTGAGCACGATAAAGAACTGCGACACGATTGCGGTCCTCGACAGAGGAAGGGTGGCCGAGCGCGGGACCCACATGTCGTTGCTCGGGAAGGGGCCCAATGGGGTTTACTATTCACTAGTCAATCTACAGAGGACGCCCAGCGAGCCGAGCCGTTAAATAAACGCGCCAAAAATCGAGCTCGAGCTCGGCTTGTTTATTTATACTAACGAGCCGAGTTCGAGGTTCACCGAGCCGAACTATAGAAAATTATATAGACATACTCTTTTTTCGAGCTCAAGTGGAGTTGCGCCGAGACCGGCTCGTTAATGAAATGAGTTTTAAGCGAGCTCGAGCTTGCTTGTTTATCAAGCGAGCTTGAGCGATAAACGAGCCGAGCTGGAATCGAGCGTTTAGTGAACCGAGCCGATCTGAGCACCTGTTCGTTTCGTTTAATAGTTAGTAGCTGAGGATGATGTATAGTTGCATTGTATGGTACTCTGTAATTAGGCCTTTTGTTGTGGATCTTGATGGTTATGTTTGAGGCTTAGTTCTAAAAAAGAAAAGCAAAAAATGACCACCTCTGTGTTTCGGCCGTTTCACATGGTTATTATGGTAAAAATACGAAATAAAAAGAAAACTTTACATAAGCAAGTTATGAATAAGATGAGATAATAATACAATGTGAAGAATAATAATCAAAATAAATTACAAATCAACCAATTATAAAACTGTAAAAGTAAGTATATTTATACAACTGTAAAAGTAAGTATATTTGCAGGTAATTTGTTATATTATATACTAATAAAAATGAGATTTGAATATAAATGGTTAATATATTTTATTTTTTTAGTCCGATTTATTATATGAACGGCGTGATCTCATAATGGGCTGATAATCAGTTGAGCCCAAGCTAAAATGCTATAAACTTTTGGGGAATTTTTGTCAATACCACAAGAAAATAAGTTATTTGCAGATATACGAGATGAGAAATCTTATTGGCATGGGTACCAAGTTAAAGTGCATTTATTTGCTGGTGAATTCAAAACGTCCGAAATAAAAGGATTGCCACGTTCCTACAATCACGCAGAGGAGTGAAATCAGTTGGAGAAATAAAAGGAAGGTGGATATAACCTATTTCTAAGGTAGTTTTCTTATACCTGTGAAGAAGGAAAATTTCAAATTGAAGAACATCTTCTCTCTAAAAAAAAATACCAGAAATTCATGACAAATTATACAGCTCATACACGGACACATAATTCTCATACCAAACACATGTAAGCACGAACCCGAACATATACATAATATAGACGGTCAATCGCGACACTCAATCAGGTACAAGTATGTAGGTTTTTTTTTTTTAGAATATATGTAATTTTTTGGTATTTAATATGTATATTGTTTGTATATTTTCTTGCGATGTTGTGATCATTATGTTTTGTATTTTGATCTTCGTTTATGTAAATGACACAGATGGATACGTCGATTATGATCTTCTTCAATTACAGTGGGGAATGGATTAATAATGAGTATGTAAATTTTCAACCGTCTGGTGTCTTGGTTCAAAAAAATTGCAGCTACAGAGAGCTTTGTGATGCATTGAGAGAAAAAGTCAAGATAGTGTCTGATTCATATACTCTTGAATTGAAATATAGCTTGAAGGATGGTTATCCACCAATGTGTCTTGATGATGACAGCAGCCTAGCTTTCTATATACGATTGAAATCGAATGAACCAGAATTCACCAAGTTTCCGATTTGCGTGGTGGTGAAGTCTCAGATGAATGGCCGTAACTCGCCCATGGTATCTCCAACTGTCCGTGATGTGGGTTACGAAACAAATGTGGCTCCTTTGAGGCATACGGAACTCGATAACTATGTATATATGAGAGAAGTACCATTGAACTTCATGGATTTCGCTCAATCTGTGGCTCAAGAGATGGTTGATACCATAAAATATACAGAAAATACACAGAACATATACACGGACAGCGAAGTGATTGTCTCGAATGAGGTAAATTTGGAATCTAATATCGTTGTTGGTATGTTATTCACAGATAAACCAATGTTGCAGAGAATATTGACGATGCACGCTATACGGAATCAATATCAATTCAAAGTCGTGAAATCGTGCAGCAAACAATATTATGTGAAGTGTGTGTCTGATGAGTGCACATGGTTTGTGAAGGCATCCCGTGTTTGTCAATCAAGTACATTTAAGATAAGGGAGGTCGGGACTGATCATCATTGCGCATTGGATGTGCGTATGGGTGGACAGCGTCAGGCAACTTCTAACGTTGTTAGTAGTTTTATCAAGACGAAGTACACTAATAACAAGAACACATATAATCCCGGAGATATCGTGGATGATATGCAGAATCGTTTTGGGATAAACTTGTCATATCACAAAGCTTGGCGATCGAAGCGAAAGGCTGTTGAGGAGGTACGTGG